GAAGTGGCAATATTATTATTATAACATTAAAAAATTATTAAGTATAACAAATTTTTAAAAATCAAGTCTATACATCATAAAGACATAGTAGTTATAAACACATTAAGTTTTACAAATGAAAACTTTTGGAAAAAATGGAAGCAATTCACAAAACTCATTCAATTATATTGAAAGATTTTAATATATGATTAGTCTCAAGCTTTAAAAAACAGGAAAGAAAGTACGTATCAAAAGATGTGAATGGTATAATTAATTGGTTTGCTTTGGTAAATACATATTTAATATAGTCTTTTATTATCAATGAACATACTTTCTTTTCAAAACCTGAACTTAATATTCATAAATCAATTTCTTTGGTTTATGTCCTCAATAAATTTCCAAAAGGATTAATTGAATAGGCTACATTCCCTAATTATAAATGTGATTAATCTGAAAAATAAAAGACAAATTTAAATTAAAATATCCAAACAGAGAAATTTTAAATCATTTTCTTTTCAGAGCAAATAGGAATTTTGAATCAAATAGAAAATCCAGAATGTATTTGTAAACAACTGAGGAAACATCATTGGTACGGCAGCATGGCAAACCTTTTAATTATATACAAATTTTTACATAAAGAGATATTAACGTTTTCATTACTAAGCTAGAGCATATCGTTATAAACTTACAAATCAAGAATTTAGGTAAAGATTTTTTAAAACATGCCTAAAGAAAGCAGAAGGAAAGTAAGAAATAAATATTAATTAAAAATAAATAAATACTAATTAGGTAGCAGAGAAACAGAATCTAAAAGCCATTTCTTTGAGAATTCAATAAAGTAAGTCACTGTCAAGCAAAATTCACAAAAAAGAAAAACCCAAGTATAAAACTCGGAATGAGAAAAGAATATAATCTAAGCTTACTTACTTACTTAATTTTACAAAATTAAAAAATCTTTAAAGAATTTGGAAGATTTTTCTAGAAAAAAACACAAATTTTCAAAGTTGAATCAGTAAGCAGATATTTTTTAAAAAGCTACAATAATCAAACAAAAACTTTTCAAAGTATTATTTCTTTAGAAGGCTAAAAACATTCTTTCAAGTGTAAAAGGAACAGATACTTCCTATGCTATAAAATCTGTTCCAGAACTTTAAAAACAAAATAGCTTTCTAGTTAATTTTATAAAACTGCATAAGCCTGATACCAGAAGCTGACATATAAGATAGGAAAAAATTTATAAAGGAGGAGGATAAAATTGTGTTTTCCTAACACACTGCATTGAAAATTACCTAGGTCCAAGACTTGTTAATAAAAAGTGGATTTAATGCCAAATAAGTCTGCCAAATAAAGATACACATCCTCTTGAAGAGATCAGCAATACACATCATCACATTAAAGATTCCGCACTTGTGTGAAACTTATTAACTCAGCATATTCTAAAATTATTCAAACATAAACACTTTTTTACATTGTACTTAATATTTAAATGTGTTAATATACCTCTAATGCTTGATTCATAGTAGGTCCTCAATATATGTTTTTATTCCTTTTTCTTTTTTCCTCATTGTGAGATTTTGTGGCTTCACCAGTAGATGGCATCGATCTTAATCATAATCATTCAGGCTTTTCCTGATGGAATGTTCACAGAGCTGATGAAACATGTTATCATTCTCAACATTGTAAAAGTAAAGGTACAGGGAACAGAAAGGAGATGAGAGTTTGGAGACATCAAGGGAAGGGAGGGAGCTCTAGGGTCTTCATTTTGCAAAAGGTGGGGAAACATAATATGGTTTGTGTTTATTGAATGAGAAATGGAGGTATTGAGGTGACATTTGAGGAACTCAGAATAGTGACCCCACTATGTACTAATTACAGGGGATGAGAGGCATTACTCCTAATCTATCAGAGTAGACAGTCAATAGACCCTGCCCAAAGTTGATAAGTCAAGAAGTGGCATTTGCATATTATTATTTAAAGATGTGGAAGTGACCATCAGAAAAACCAACAACCCAAACTTGCAAGAAGTAATTGCCTTTGAGGAACAGAAGTGAAGTTGGGGTGCAGGACTGTTACTTTTCATTTTAAATCATTCTGCATCATTTGATTTTCTTTAACCATGTGCATATTTTGGTATGTTAAAACTTTTCCAACATAGATATCCAAAATTATTTTTAGCAAAATTAGTGGGAGATAACAATTAGGGTATAGATTAATACAGGCATAACGTGGCTGTCCAAATCTGATAAAACTCAATGTAAATCTTGGCTCAACCAATTACTGAGACGTGTTAGCTTCGAATAAGTTACTAAAATTCTCTAAATTTCGGTTTCTTCCTCTAAAAATATCAGTAATTATACCTAACACATAAAGTTATTTTGATATTTGAAATTGAGATAATGTGTCTAAAGCACTTAGCACACATATGGAGGGTGCTTAATATTGTCACATTTACTAGTTGTTATAAAATTATTAAAAATGATTATTGTTCTCAAGGATATATTATAGTCACTGTATTCTATCAATCTCCCTTTATGTATGACTGTGTAAATCTGTAGTATGTAAGTGGAGATTTCTTAAATGCTGATGGTCACAAAAGTTCTTCTAGTTGTTTTTCAGAATTTTAGAGCGCTTGTTTTTATTACCTGCTTCAGAGGCATCATGATGTAATGGAAGAAACCAACATTAGTTTGCCCACCTCCACCTTGGCTAAGTCATTTAATCCAATTTCAGTCACTCCATTTGTAAGATGACATTGCTGGAGATTTACCTGTCTGAAACTTAGAGCGAATCAGATGCTCATTTGAGGTGCTGGTCACTCTAGAGGCCATGGCTGTGGAACAAGAGAAGAAAGTGACCCATTGAATGTGGGGCAATTGGGGGATCCCACATGGCGGTCAAGGTCTTACCTCTAAATGTCTGGCTCTGGGGCTGAGGGAATTTTTTGACCTTTGAAATGAAGTTTGGTTAGAAAAAAAAATTATTCATGTGCTTTCTGAGGCATAAAAAGCCTGCTACTTCTGTCAGATGAATTTACTCATCCAAAATATCAAGGTTTCCCTTAGTAAATTCAAATCCCCACTATATGATACCCTCATATGCCATATTACTGAGTTTAGAATATATAATTCCACTGTCAAATTAATGGTGATGCATAAGAAAAGCTTCCTTTTCACTGTTATCCAGTACTTTTATGAAAAAAGATCAAATTTCATGCCAATTTTTATTTATTTTTCAAGTTACTCAAGAGTAAATTGGATAGGATTCTGTTTAGAAATTTACTTGCAAAAAAGGTTTTTCAGGATATTGCTACAGAAAGCTTTGAAAAATAAAGAGGATGTGGGAAATAGGATGAGGACCTTGAATTTTAATTTCATCTCTACAAAGAAAATTCTTGACAAGTGTAGTCACTCACACACTTGGTAAGTATTTGGTGTGGGTAAGACTGATATTGAGATGACAAAAAGAATTCCTGCTCTCAAGTTAACACAGCAGCAGCAGGTCTGATGTAGGCCTGCTGGAAACAAAACACGTTGATTTTCATTTTCAAAAATAGTACAATGTGAGATAATCTTGATCACTAATTCAAATAAAATGACAAAATTAATCTACATTTAAAGGAAATGTCTTCTGCTCTCCATCCCCAAACTTTCCATCTCCAGTTTCTTCCATTCATATTTACAGGATTGGTATATAATGGAAAAATGAAAAGACAGTAAACTATTTTGTTTGTACTCTTTGAGGCTTCCACCGATGAAGACTATTGCATTTTTGAGCTGGACCTTCTTGTTGGACTTAGGTTTCTAGACACTCCTCACACAAACTTCTTGTTGGGAGTGTCCTGATTGCATGCACTGTTTGTTGTAAAGGCTGCTAAGAATTGTGGTACAATTTCAAGACTCCACTTGGGTGGTCTCTACCTTAAGTCTGCTTTTCTTAGGAGGCCCAAGTTCCTCTTACCCAGCTGTTAGAGGAAGAAAAATATAGTAGATAATAGAGCTGATGATGGAGGACTACTGAACCTATTATATCTCCTCAGAGGAGCTCCAGGAAGCCAGCAGAGAAGAAATGCCCAGAAACAAAGAGCTATCTGGCAGGCTGTAGCAGTGTCGGCCCCCTGCCCAGAAGCCCTTCGACCCTGTGATGAGTGCCAGATAGAGCACCCAAGAACCACACCGTCACTCAACCATCACCTCCTCATTCCTGTTACAACACCTAAGCTTACTGTAGACTTTCAGAAATTCAACTTTCAAATGCATTTTAGGATCACATCATGTGCATATGTCTAGAGCAGCTTACATACATTAAAATATGGGCAGTATTGTATAAACAGTATTTTTTAATCCACTGAATTTATAGAAGGACAACGACACATGTTAATAATAATTTTATTACTTTACCACCATGGTCACTTCAAGTGTCACACACAATGTACATATAATGGATGGTAGAAGAGCTAATAATCCAAAATTTGAATCCTCCGAGATCATTTGCCACTATACATTTCTGTATCAATTATTATAGTCCAAAAGAAAGGAAGAGTGTAAAATGAAATCTTTCTCTACATATTCTGGCTCTATCCCAACATCTCAATTAAGGTCATATTTGAAGGAGGCCAAGATATAATTTAATTTTCTAACAGGACTCTCTTCCCCTTGACAAGTATTTTAGTTTAGAAATTACTTTATATATAGCCATTAGACTATTAGAACAATTGTTCTAGGAATACAGCTAATATATCAACGGGCACAAGGCAAAATTAAGCAGAATGAGTAAATAATATAAGGAATTTGTATAAATAAGGAAGATTTAAAAGGTTTGGATTAACTTTATTATCCACATTTTCTGTAATATGTTTAATTATATTTGTTACTAGGTACATTATCAAATACCTAGGGCCAAAAACAAAGACATTTTTTTTTGAAAGGAGAAAAAAAAGACACATTTAAAACCCCTTTGATTAAAATCTATTTGTTTGCAGAATTTCCAGAAATTAGAAAACATGGCTTCAAGTCATCATTTTTCTAAAGCTGTGTTTCCTTGCCTGGCCAGTAGTTGGGTTGTAGCAAATGATCACTTGTAGTACAATTTTCCTTCCTGATTCTTGTAGACACCATTGTTCCTTCTGTCTTGGTTCTGAAGCTTCTATGTTTTGAAACACAATTTTTCTTTAAAGTGAAAAGTACTGCAATACTTAGGAAAATGGACACTGTGCCCAGCATCACAGTTAGTCCCAGATATATGTGTCTAAAAGAAGAGAGAAACTCAGTCATAATTATTGCAACTATCCAACTTTAAAATGGGAAAGGAAGGTAAGAGTATCATTCCATAAATAGCAATACCAAGAAAATCAATCTGTCAATGAAACCATCACGAGGATGTTTTTTCTTAAGATGCAAATTCAGTGGCTATAAAAGACCTTTCTATGAACATCTGGTAGACTATTGAAGGCAGTATGCTAATATAAAGCAACCTCTTAGTGGTGCCATAATTTTTAGTTACTACTAATTACATAATCAGTTCCATCCTCTCTGTAAATTATTCCCTTAGACCAGATGACCATATGCCTATTTGCCCAGAACAGTCCTAGCTTATGCTGGTGTTGTCCCAGTATACTTTTTAATAGTGCCCCTTTTCACTCTCAAAAGTGTCCATGTTGAATGATAAATTATGTGGTTACCCTATCCTTGAAACTTGCCCAAATGCACTTCTACAAAAAAACTGCAAGAAGCAATGTTAAGGGAGACTCAGAGCTCTTAGTAGAGCAGAATGAATTAAGAATTAACCAAAGGTTTAAATCACTTTCTTAATGAGAAGCCACTAGTTCTTCATTCTATCATAAAACAGGAAGGTATGGAAGGACAGGTTGAATGATTTATTCTGGTCACCTTGTACACATACTCAGTCTCTGATTGAAATACATTGTCTTTACATTAAAGTAAATGCCGCCTTAGCAAATGTGAGCAAAGCACAAATTCTACTCATAGGTCAAGTCCCTTTCAAAGACCAAAATAAATTTCTCACATAACATCAAAGCCTATTACATCAAACAAACTTATTTGAGATGGTTGGCTCAATTCACATCCAACTTCCAACTTACACAGTTCAGTACCAAGCTTATTCCTCCAGAAAATGCTCAGATTGTAAAATAAATAAATAAATAAAAAAATAAAAAAATCCTTCCTGCTTTTAAGCCATTGAAGCATTGCTTTAAGCAATAAGGGGACTAAATGTTTGATGAACTGAACTGAATGATGCCATAGTGAAAAAGGCATGCCCCTCAGCCCCATACACACTCATACACACAGAAAAAGCCTTTTACTTTTATGCATCTCAAGTACTGGAATAATTGAACATCAGTTTGGCAATAAAAGCTGGACAGATTTAGAGCCAAATCCAATCCTTGCCCAGGGGGATTATATCTGACGTAAATGGGACAGTTTGGCTCAGTTTGAAAAAGAATAGAATTAAACCCAAAATGTGACCTAAATTTAAATGCTTTGGAGCTTCAGAGAATTACCCACTTGTGTGCATAAACTTGCAAAATTCTACTGTATTCTGGAATCTTTTGTGAATTTTATTTAAGATTAGGGAAAAACTGAAAGATCTAGCCAAGTAAATAATAATAAAATTATTCTATAAAATAGAACTTGTTTCTTGGTTAGATGATCCTTTTGCAGTGAAACTCCATGAGGAATGATTACTGCCCATTTCATTGTGCAAACCTGTAACGTTGTAGCAGGGAGATGCAGGAACGAGTTTGATACGGTACCTGAAAGCATTTGAATCATATAATCTGCAGGAGCCTCTACGTCCACATCTTTTAAATCCCCATTTGAGGCATGAGGTGTCAATCAAAATTCCAAAATACACGGGAGCTGGGATTCCTGCTGTGAGAAAAACAAACAATTGCTGCTAAAAATATATATATACCCATCTTTTTGATTATCCTATAATGAATGAGTCTCTGGAACCACCTACTTTCAAACTAAAAACAAACTGCTTTGGGGAAAATAGGTACCTGTAGAAGACCAGAATATGCTACCTCATTGTATTTCTCTGGCATAAACGTTATTTTGAGAAACAGAAGGCACAGGAAAAGCTGTGAAGACAGAGCCTAAGTTTCCTTTTTGTAAGGGAAACTTAGATTTACAACAGAGATCGCCATTTGTAAGGGTGTCTACCTCTCTATACCAAGAAGAGAAGGATTCCTAATCCCAAAAGGATTTTATCAAAGAAGGCACCCACCTAAATCTCCATAACAAATCTAACCCTTATTTACCTTACTTTTCCTGGTCACCTTCCCATTACTTAAGAATGGGTTTTACTTATTTTATGCTGTTATCACTTTTTTATTGTGCTGAAAATACTGACTTCTAATGATATTAACATAATCTCTTATTTGCTTTATTTTAAAATATGTAATAGTTTCAACATAACTATACCAATGTTAGTATTAAAGACTACACAATGCAGTGAAGTTATGTGGCTTTGGTAATGATTCTGCCCTTTTTTTAAATCTGTTTTTCTTTGTGGTTATGCCTCTTAAATAGCCAATTTCAGTTTGTTTCAAGAATGTCTTAGTTTCTTTTCATTGTTTTTTTTTTTTAAGACTTTATTTATTTATTTGACAGAGAGAGGGAATACAAGCAGGGAGAGTGGGAGAGGGAGAAGCAGAACTCCTGCTGAGCAGGGCCCCTGGGATCATGACCCCAGCCGAAGGCAGATACTTAACAACTGAGCCACCCAGGTGCCCCCATATTGTTTTTTAATTACATAAAAACTTTGGATGTTTTCAGTTTTTAAAAAATATTTATTTATTTATTTATTTAAAAGAGAGAGAGCGAGCGAGCACTCCTGAGTGGGGGTGGGGTGGGGGGGAGACAGAGAGAGCGAGGAAGAGAATCTTAAGCACACTCTCCACTGAGTGCAGAGTCTGACACAGGGCTCAATCCCAGGACCCTGAGATCAAGACCTGAAAAAACTTTGCATGATTTCAAATTAAAAATTAAATCAGAGTTACATTTACAAACTCTACTTTCCATTCTGTCTTCTCTTACTTTTTTCCTTCCTTCCCTTATATGCAACCACCACCACCATCACTCTCACCACCACCACCATCATCATCATCATCATGTTTTTAGTTCATACTTCCATGGTTTTTTTTTTAAAATGTTAGCAAATACCTTTGCATACATGTATATTTCTACCTTTCCATACTTCTTACACCAAATGCATCATAATATGAACATCATTCTACATTTTACTTCACTTTACTTAAGGGTATAGCCTGGAGATCCCTTGGTAATATAGACTACTGTGTCCCTCCAAAATTCATATGCTGAAGCCTTAGCCCTAATATAATTGCACTCGGAGATAGAGTTATTAAGGAGATAAAGGTTAAGTGAAGTCATAAAGGACTTAATTTGCTAGGACTGGTGTCCTAATCAGAAGAGGAAAAGATACCAGAACTCCATCTCTCTCCATATGTACACAGGGGAAATCTTTGTGAGATCACAGTGAGAGGGCAGCTGTCTACAAACCAGGAAAAATGGTCTCAGGGATTTCACCAGATACCAGGCCTGTTGGTACCTTGATCTTGGACTTCCCAGCCTTCAGAAATGTGAGAAAATAAATTTCTGCTGTTTAAGTTCTTCAGTCTGTGGTATTTTGTTATGGCAGCCAGAGCGGACTAGTAAACTTGTGAACATTAGAGGGAGATTTTCCCCATTCATCCTTACAGCTGCATAGGAATCCATTCTGTGGGTTCACTATAGTGCATTCAAATATGTCATATTGATGGACAACTAGACTGTTTACAGTTTGCTACTATACATAATGCCACAATAATTAGACATCCATAAAATTTTACTTATTTCATAGTTTTGCTAGCAAATTTTTGGTATCAATTTTTAGAAGTGAGGTTGCTAGGTCAAAAAATAAATCTAATCATAGTTTTGTTAGTTACTGCCACATAACCCTCCACTGAGGGCTGAGACCATGGAGAAATTTTCTCAACAGCAGTGTGTAAGCATATCTATTTTTCCATACATTGCAAACAACATTTGGTAATTTGCAAATCTGATAAGCAAAAAAATTTTATCAGTATAATTTTAATTTGTGCTCTCCTTATTATGAGAGAGTTTGACCATCTTTTCATATATTAAGAGGCATTTACATTTTTTTCCATGAGATGGCTGTTCATACCTGTTACCCATTTTTCCATTTGGGTGTTGGTCTTTTTTTCTCAATACTTAGGGGCTCTCTTTATAATAGGGATATTATAAATAGTCTTTGCATAAATTGCAAAAAATAGTTGTTCCCAGTTTATCATTTGCCTTTTGACTTCGCTTATGATATTTTTGCCATTTTCAAGTATATTTTTAGTTTTATGGAATCAATTTTATGAATCATTTCTTTTTTAAAACTTCATTTTCTTATTTTTTAAATAGTCTTCATGCCCAACATGGGGCTTGAACTCACAACCTGGAGGTCAAGAGTCATGTGTTCTACTGACTGAACCAGCCATGGGCCCCAATGAAACATTTCTTTCACTTGAAATCTTTTTCCAGTGTAGGTTATATCTTTATCTCCAAAAGGAGGTAGATATAGGAACCAATTCCAGCCAGAGATATACTTCAGGCTCAATAATCTGACATTTTTCTAAGTAATCTCTGTTTTCACATTGTAGAATTAGAGCCAGCCATAATGGGATAAACTTCCATATTTGCTGCTCCCCCAATTTCATCAGGATTATACTGTATCTTCATATATACCCATTTTATATCAAGATCTATTTATTTTCAGATTTTTTAAAGATCTGAGTTTGTTTTTCTCCCTGGCAGTTCTTTTCTGTTAAACTACAGAGGAACATTTGTGATTGTTTTGCTTTATTCCTTAGAATATAAACTTTGTAGAAACAGAAAACTTATCTGACCATTAACTCTATTTTCTATGGGTTCTAACTGATGCATATTGAAAAATCTATTAGAAAAAACCATTCCAATTACATTTAAAAAAATGGTCAACTCAAAGCCATACTCTTTTGACTGTATGAATGAACTGATCTTTCTACCAAATGATATATCTCAGCACTGAGAGTAGCTCAAAAGAATTCCTTCCATTTTAACAACTGAAGAAATTATATTAAGGCTTCAGACTTTCTTACTGATTCATTTCTTGCTTTCCTCTCAGAGGGCTCTTTCATAACAAGAATAAACTTTTTGACAATAGACCAGTGCTGGAAGAGACAAGATTGTTAGACAAAAAAATGTTACTCTTCTCACAAAATCACTTCATTATATCACAGGCACAGCATTGGCTCTCAATTTCTAGAATAAAGGAAGGGAGAAGTTGAGAGTGGGAGGGAGGGAATAAAGAAATGAAGGGAGGAAGAAAATAAATAGGGACCTAACCACCTATATTATTTAGTTATGCATGATAATTCTGTAAAAAGACTTAGAAAAGTATTCAAAATACATTTGTCATGGCTATCATAATTAAAACATAGATTATACTTACCAAGAACTCTTATTGCTAAGGTGTAGATACCCAGGGCAAAAGACTTAAATTGTGGCTTAATGCACCTAAAAACAACAAAAGCACTATAAAGAAAATATAATCCATTAAAGCAAATAGTAATGTTAGTGATAATCTGCTTATCACATATGAAATGTTAGGATTCAAGTAGCATTTATGGAAAACCCATAGTGTCGTAGCATAGGGAGGGCAAATTATGTAAATCCATGTGCTATTAGATGCAATGCCTCAAAGAGTTTATAGTTAATATTTCCAAAATGTAAATCACCTCTACATGATATATTCAGATGGTATTGGATAAAGTAAAATTTTAAGTTTAATTGGCAAAACAACAAAGACTCACAGAAAAAAAAATTCTAAGAAATTTGAGGCAACAGTAAAGGATCAATAAACTATAACTGATTTTTGTGGCTCTTCATCTAAAAACACAGGACCATGTTGATCTGAGTTGATACAATCATAATTGCTGTGGCATGCTAAGTGTTTCTGCTAAATAGTGGGGACCTGAATCTAGCAGCCAAGTGCAAGAATACCTAAAATAACAAGGGCATCCTTAATATGACTGTATAGCTTTAACTAATTGGCCTGTCAATTTTAATGGTAATAATCATGATGATATTATAATAACTATTGAGTGTTAACCATGGTACTAATTTCTCCATATGTATAATATCATTTATTTTATTTTATTTAATATTTTATTTATTTATTTGACAGAGAGAGAGAGACATCGAGAGAGGGAACACAAGCAGGGGCAGAGAGGGAGAAGCAGGCTTCCTGCTGAGCAGGGAGCCCGATGCGGGGCTCAATCTCAGGACCCTGGGATCATGACCTGAGCCGAAGGCAGACGCTTAACGACTGAGCCACCCAGGTGCCCCGTATAATATCATTTAATCTCTACTTGAAAAGAGGCAAAAATCACAACTTTTCTCCTTCCATCTAAGGACATCTCCTTCTGACATCAAAACACAGCATGGTTCATTTGAAGGGCTGGTGGTGAAGATAATTCTTCATCTAGGACCCTGATTAAGCACTTGGCCCAGGTGACTCCTTGACCCAGGATAAGATGTGGAAGAAATAGACACCCATGAAGAACCATCCTGGTTTGAGAACTCTGGTGCAATGCTCTCCGTATCATGCTCCCATTTGAAAACACAGTATCTCATGTTTTCCTTAAGCCCTTTTGTGAATGTTGGGTCCTATTTTCTGTTTATTTTTCCTAATCATTTTCTATAATATCCTATGGGAAACCATATATGTATATAATACTTTTGAATAGTTTCATTTTAGAATAATGTGATATTCATCCTTCAATATATGAATTAATTTAAAAATCACCTAATCATCTCATAAAAGATTAGTTTCTGATAAAATCTGACTTTTTAGGTTTAATAATTTTGCTAAAATTTGTAATATTTTTAGATTATTTTATCAATTGTATAATAGTATTATTTGAATGGCTAATCCCATTAGGAAGAAAATTTTATCACTGACAATACTAGTTACAAACTACTATTTTAGAATTTATATACTTTTTTATAGAAATCTAAGATAGGAAAGTCAATAAAAAGTGTTCAAACATAAATTATATTACAATAGAAGAGAAGCCTATAGGGAAGTTGAATTAAGATATAAGCACAAGAAGAAAAAAATATGTAACATATTTACTGTAAAAGATTTTTTGTGTAATTTTAAATTAGGTGATATTGGTTATCTAATCTGTTTCCTAGATTCTCACTGATTACATTTAAAAGAGTAATCTACATTTAAAATTATTATATTTTTAAATGTAAATATTTATAATATACCAGAAATCAATGCTTGCTTACTATTAAACTTAAGAAAATTTTAGATGTCCACTTAACAATATGCAAAAGGGGTACACAGTTTTAAAAATTCTTTTAGAGTTTTATAAGCAAAAACACTTGGAATCATTAACATATATTCATGGATTAGAGAACTCAATTGATTCAAAAGTTATGAACAACCCCCCCCACACCCATACATATAAATAATTCTAGTCAGAACAAGAAAAATAACCTACATATTAAAGTAATAAATGTGAAGCATGGTGATATTAGATGAGTCTTTAAGCTATCTTAAAATTTTATCACTCATAATTCAGTGAAACCATGCTTAATCTAAAACACAGTTAGCCTAGGGACACCTGGCTGGCTCAGTTGGTAGAGCATGTGACTCTTGATCTCAGGGTTGTAAGTATGAGCCCCACATTGGGTGTAGAGATTACTTAAAATTAAAATCTTAAAAAATAATAAAAAACACATTTAGTCTACACTGGGTAGTATTATCACCATAATTAGAAATAGCATATTGTATTTTTTGAGTGTCTATAGTGATATAGGCACTATAGTGATACAGGCTCTCTAGACCAATGATTTACAAAAAATTTTTAACTAGAAAAACTTCTATTCAACCATATTTTTGCATAAAAACCCAAAATCGGAAGAGTATAAAACTAGAACAAGGATATGGGTCAAGTTCCCTGAGAGAGCTTTAAGGAATCACAATTCTATAGAACAGAATTTGAAATCAATGTTCTAAATGATTATAATACGTCTTGTATTAAAACTGGGGCAGGGAGAATCAGTGTTCACCTCAGAAGCAGTATGTATCCAGGTATGCCACCTAGAGATAAAGTATAGGATGTGATGACTGAAATGACAAGGAAATACAGAAACATTTTGGGACATCCATTATCTTTTTGACACCTGCCCACCATGCCTGAGGAATTTCCTGACTTTGAGGCTGCAATCCCCACACAGGTACAGTTATAAAATATCTGTAACACAATAGAAAAAATTCCAATTATTGAGGTAACATTTAAATACAACTGAAAATACGTATTTGTTTAAATAGACTTTACGATATAGTATACGTGCATCATATAAGCAATAAGGTAAATATTCTTTTATTTGTCTGTGTTAAGGTATAGTGAGCAAAGTGAAATCTATACAGATAACATTTTTTTTTTTATCCAAACAGCTGATGGTCAAACTACTGACCCTACCAAACAATCTCCCAGTAAATCCTAGTAAATCCAAACATACCTTATCTCCTTCTCTGCCATTTCCAAGTTTAAGCCACAATTATTTCTTGCCTTGGTTATTGCTGTCATCTCTTTATGCTCAACTTATTTCCACTCTTATCCAGCTATCATTTGTTACCTACCCACAGAGTAACCAAAGTGAGCCTTTAAAAATGGCAGTCACTATTCTCAGCCTTCCAATAGCTTCTTATTATGCTTATATAAAATCCAAAATCCTTACAGAGGCTTACACACTATGATGGAACTATTGGATCCCCCTCTGATCTCATGGCTCAATCATCTTCCCCCTCTCCCTCTGCTTCAGTGGCACACGTGGGTTTCCACTGTGCCCTTGCCAACCCTCAAACATGGTAAGTTTACCCATGCCTTATAGCCTAGCTGTTTTCTCTGCTGGGTAGCTCTTCTAGATAGCTGCAAGGCTGGTGCACACACCTAAGGTCTCTGTTCAGTTTGTTAAAGAGGGCTTCCATGATGATCCATTCAAAAAAATACACCCATTTCTCCATCCTTTATTCTAACTTACCTTTTCCTTACAGTGCTTATCATTACCCATTAGAGTATTATATAATCATTTGTTTTTAAACTATATATCCCCACTAGAATGAAACCTCTGGCAGAAACTGTCTGCTTTCTCATCATTGTACACGTAGAGCCTAAGTGGGTCCTCTTTTTAGGCACTCAATAAAAATTTGTTCAATAAATGGGCATAATTTGAGGATACGGCTTTTTAATGGTAACTAGGAAAAAAATCATGAATAATAAACCTCAACTAAATCTTGGACAGAGAGGCAAATTTTATAATCCCTCATTAGTTTATTTTTGTAAATATCACAAAAGAGTTTGTGAATTTTTAGTTAAACAGTGAAATGAGGCTGGCATTTCCTTTCCAAGGAGCAATGTTGATTTTTTTTTTTTTTTAATGAATGTCAGGTAAAAAGCTTTTGAACCTTGACCTTGCCTCTTACTAGATACATGAGTTTAGGCACATCAGTGCCTCATTTCTCACATGAGGAAAATAAAAAGTAATACCCAATCACTTGAAGACAACGATATTTAAATCCCTCCCCCCCTTTTTTAAGCACCTCTCTTAGTTCCTGGCATGAATGCCTTCGATAAGTGAAGTTCTAGGTAAGGAAAACTTTCAAGCAGTTTGGACGAAAGAGTAGAGGCTGAAAGAAAAGGAAGAAGGAGGAGGAGCAGGGGGAAAGGGAGGGAAGGAGAGGGGAGGGGAGGGAAAGGGAGGAGAGGGGAGGGAAGGGAAGGGGGAAAGAAAGAGAGAAAGAAAGAGAGAAAGAGAAAGAAAGAAAGAAGAAAGGAAACAAGA